TTATGTGAATTGGCTTATTTAGGAATGAATTTCATTTAGCTGACTTGCGGGTGGAGTAGTGCTGCAGTGTTGGTGGTTCTGCACTTCTTCCCCAGTGGTACAAACCAGCTGATACCAACAAGCTTGCTCTCGTACTGTGCCTTTTCAGTAGAGCTGGCTAAGGTGGTTTCCGTCCCTTTCAGTGGGCTGTAAGCTAGCTTCTGTGATTTCCTCAATTTGTTGACTTTTATTCCAGAAATCGGTGTTTTGTTCTAAATTCACATGTAGCTGCTACCATACTACCGTATTGTTTTGCTAGATAATTTATTTGGTCTTGCTTTTCCTGGGTTTATCAAGTCTCAGTGAGCACCCCCCCCCCCCCCCCCCCCCCCCCGCTAACTTCTGAAAAACTGAGTGGTTCGTATGTCCAGAAGATCTTTTATCCTGACTAATGTTGTCTGCTTACCCCTTTGTTACTCTTTAACCACTTTAGGTTTCCTGTGTTGTTTTGTTTTACTAGTTGGTTCGCGTACTTAGGCATACATACATACCATGTGTATGGTATATGAAGGAGAATTTCTGATGGCTGGAAGGTGGTTTAACTTTTGTGTGGTATGAATATATACATTTTTTTCTTTTTAAAATACAGAAAGTTAGTTTGCTTCCGGTTTTTCCAAGAGTGAGATAGGTAGCCAGAAAGGCCTGAAAAACGAAACAAAGGTTAAGAAATGGATTTCTCGATTGATAGTCAAAGGAAAGCTGTTTCAGATAGATATTAGGAATATAGATGGATTCATCTCTAGGGAAGTCTCAGATACAAAAATACTTTGAGTGTTCCCTATTGTTGTTTTATGTTCAAAAAAAAAAAGCCTTAGTGGGAGTCGCGCCCCCCCCCCCAATACTATTCTCCCATTGGGCTCTCAGAGGAGAGTGCTGGTGCTGTGGCTGTTGCGTCCGATGCCATTTATGTGTGTTTTATTTTGTCACTAGGCACTCTGTTACTGCCCGTTCATTTACTGTGGGGAAAAGACCATTTTTAGTGCCATCTTGTGTGTGGGTCCTGATTTTTTTTTTTTCCTCACTTGTACATATTTGTTGGTCCTTAATTTTTGAGTTGGTATTTGTCTCAGTTCAACTCCTCTGTTAGATCAGAAAAACAGATGTTATTGTAGAAGTGGTGAATTATTTTTTTAAAAAAATCCGCTGCATCTCTGTGGAACTGGGATTAAAAGAGAGAACTTTGATTTTCTCTGCTTGTGTTCCAAGCGCTGCAATGCTGCAGTGGTAGAATCACCGCTACTTTTGTATATGCTTATTAACTAAGTGAAAGGAAGCTTTCAGTGGAGTGATTAGCTTTCAGTTTCGGCTTTTTAAACTATTGTCTGATGCTTTTTGCAGCCTAGCTACTGAGGAGAATATCCAAGGCTTAGTTATTTTTAAATGTTTTTTTGTTTTG